TGCTGGACTCCTGTCAGCCATCCAACTAAATAATCAGCTCTCAAATCTCTAATGGTTAAAAACGTACATCTGCGATGTGGCGGCACACCGGTGAGAATCTCATGATCTGTCAAGTCACTGTTAGTCATCACCGGATCAAGAGAGCCGTGTCTTTGATTAGAAAAAACCAATGTGTACACTGCGGGGGCTTTTCTCTGTGGGCTCTGTGAGTTTATTGAAAGATGTGCATCTGACAAAATATATCTCCACCAGGAGCGCTTTTTGTTGCACTCTCTCATGTAACACATGCAAAGTACGTCTTCTTCCAATCTTATGTAAACATGACTCTCGAGTCAAGGTTTTTTTTTTAAGTGGATTTGGATGTTCCCTTTTCCTTTGTGTTAGCAAAACATGACATTTTGGCATTGCTGGTGAAATGGAAAATGATGTGCGACAGCAGTAAACAAACCTCAAGCAAATGTAAGTGTCTCAATAGATGGCCAGCCCTGGCACTGAGCCCTGCTGACGTATACAAGCTGTAAAGAAGACTGGCCGTGAAGCACGGAGAGGAGGCAGAGAAAGGGAAAACTCTGTCCGTGTGTAAGGCATTATGATGGGAGAAAAATGTACAGCAGGTGAGGGAGGGAGGGGGGGGGGGGGGTTAAAAGAGAAAAGTAGGGGGGGGTAAGATAAAGGGAGAGGGGGGATAATATGCTCCTGGGAGACAGCGCAGAAAGAGAGTATCCAGAGGTCCTATGACTCACGGCACTTCTTCCACACTGGACTTTGACAGACATGAACACGCAGGCTGCTCTCACATACAAATATCTGGTCAGCAAAAACACACAGTGCCAAACACACACAACACTGCTCATGCATATAGTATATGCTGGCCTGTATATATATTCTCTTTTTTCCCCTTGCACATAAGAAAGTTCATGGGGAAAAAAGTGAAGGAGAGATAGAAAACTCGAACAAGGAGAAAAGCAAATAAGTGGGAGGGAAATCCAAAGAGAGAAATGAGGTGTGTGTATGTGTGTTGGAGAGAGAGAGAAAGGGAGATGAGGTGAGGAGGCGGAGAGATGAGAGGCGAGGGAGGGAGTGGTGTAGACTGGGAGGGTGGAGAAGAGAGGGAGAAGCCACACTTGGATGAAGGATTCCTGTGGAACGAGGAGGGACTTTTAAGTGTTGGATCTGGGGAACTACAGCTCCGTGGTCCTTCGTTCGGCACACTGAAGAGATGGAGGAATGGAGCGAGGTGGAGCACCAGGCCCTCAGCTGAGACATGACCCCCCCATCTGGCTGTTTACCCTGATCCGAACCTCCTGAAAGACTGATGACCCACCATCGGGAATGACATCCAGCAGAAGTTGGAGGGAGTTCAGTATGGATTTATACAAATGTTTGAGCGTACTTTTCCTCATTCTTCCTTCAGAAGGTAAATATTTGAATCCTCTGACAGTTTTTCCACTTGTCTCCAACAACCTAAGGGACTATGTGACGATTATTTTGGGGAGGGGGTGCTTTATATTTGGAGAACAGGGAACTTTTACTCATTCTATTTTGAAAAATAAAAAAATATTGCAGTGCTCCATCCCAGATAATGTCCTGTTTTTAAGTTGAACCATTAGGGATGTAACAATACCAAAAACTCATGGTACAATAATATCACGATAACAAGTCCACGGTACGATATTTATATTTAAAATATTTTTGACATTTTTTTTGTTTTACTTGAAAATAAATTATTTATTAAATAATACATCTGATTTGTACACAATTTTAGTAGGATAGTAGTATTTTAAAGTGTCAAAAATATAATAATCAGACCCGGCAATAAAATAAATCAAGTTTTACTTTAGTTTTTCAAGTAACTCAACTCAAACTCACTAACTCACTCACTCAGCATCATCAAGGTTATCTTTTAGGAATATGAGCATGTCCACATTTCCAAGTAGAAGCTGGGATGTTTGGGCGTTTACAATATCCCCTGCTGTGGAAAAAACTCTCTTGCTTGGTACTGATGTTGCTGGGACAGAGAGATATGCTTTGGCCATGGGTAACAGCAGTGGGTCAAACTGTGCATTGTCTCTCCACCACTTCAAAAACAATGCAGTACTGTTGGTACTTGTCAATGTCTCTAGGTATGTACATGTAGCCCTGTAAATATGATGTCCTTTTGTGTTCTGTTGTTTTATGTTCATGTTGTAACCTCCTTGCTGCCATGTTGGACAGGTCTCCCTTGAAAAAGAGATCGATGATCTCAATGGGACCACCTGGTTAAATAAAGGTATTAAAAAAAAAAAATCGCAGTAGATTTGGTCAGTCTCACGACGGTATTGAGTCGAGACATTTATTTATCGCAATATTTGATATATCGTTACATCCCTATTAACCATGGATAATTGTGGTTTTATTTCCTGAATTTCTTTGAAATGTGTTTATGCCATGAATATTTACTTTGCAGCCTTGTTTAAAAAAATGTCTGTTACAACACAGACATTTCATCACTGTCCTTTAATGTCAATCAGTCACATTAGAAGATACATTTATTTTCTCTGGTCAGTATTGATAGAGGGATGGGTAAACAGAACAATGGAGCTTTTCCGGCAGACCGCTGCTTCGAGTCCCAAATGAAACAAAAAATCAATATGCAGTTATTTCAATTAAAATCAGTCAGTTCAATAATGCAACGAACATGCTTATTATAAGTCAAATCATGATCTCTAACCAACCTTAAAGTACTAGTTTTGTTACCTAAACATAACTGAGTAGTTGTGTTGTTTTGTCTTGCTCGCTCTTTGTCTCAATTACACCGTTAATTAAGTGATGTGAACGGTAATCCAGGAGAAAATGTGTTTCCAGAAAAAAGTATTTGAGAGTGCAGTTTAGTTGTCGAGGAACTTTTGTAGGAGATAATGTTGTTTTTAGTAAGACAATAAAGTCTAAAGAAAATATGGACAAGGAATTGGAGGATTTCATTTCTTTAAATACAATTAAATGTAAGGTTCAGTCCACCACCCTCTCGATTCCAATGATCATGCACAATTGATGTCCTCCAGTCCCAGTGTTGCATTACAAAACCTTGATTTATTATTTCTGAAAGGCCACACAACCTTCAATTCACAAAAACGTTGCTGTTTTGATTGGACAAGGAGTTAGAAACTGTTGCTTAGTGACTTGGTAACGATATTTGTCTGTTCAGTGATATTTGCTTCAACTCCAAAATGTGGCCAACTAGAGAACATTTATCTTATGAAGACAGAACTGGCAGATCTGATCTGACAATGTAATGGCTTGTCTTTGGTGTGAACATTTCAGAAAGTACACCTAACTGGAGAAGGATATTTGCTTTTTTCAGATGACTAACAATATTAGTTTCCTTTTTTGTTCATCATATGCATTAATACACTTCAGAACAGATACCATAGAGAAGCATCCAAGGGAAAGTAATCGTTTTAGAGTAAACAATCTGGATGTTCTCACTGAAATAGAAAAAATAAAGTTGAGTCATGATATGACAGAATGGAGAAACCTGAACATCCCAGCTGTCTGAGTGACCGGTACATCACAGTCGGTACCAGACCTATTCATAGTGTCCTGTAGAGCATATTGTCCAGAAGTAAACTCATCCAACACTTACCTGCCTTCTCCTGCACACATCACCGCTCTGACCCGCAAGCTGTCAAAGTCACGAGACCCTGCAAGCTCCCCTCACCTAAATCCATTAGTTGCCACGCTGCTTTAGAATCTACTGAAGCGTCCCCGTTTTATTGAATATTAGTGGCATTCAACAGATATCACTCTGCGGCTGATGTGATGAAACAAAGATACCCCTGTCTATTTTTTTTCATCTGAAAAACCCAGTGACGTTTCAAGGTTGTTGAGCGGCTCGACACGTAAAGAAAGGAAAATGTATCCGTTTAATAAGGTATAGATCCCAAGCCTTTAGAAACAGAGGATGCCAGTTTTCAGGCAACTGAAGGACAGTCCATCAGCTTTGATTGATCGCATAGGAGAACCCGAGAGGAAGTCCGACAGCATGACAACAACACTGCTGTCCCTGATTTAGGAACACAAATGGAACAACAGAGCACCTCTGACGAACATAGGTAGACGCATAGATGAATCAAGACTCTTCCTTGCATTAGCATGACTATATATGCAATATATACAATACAGCGCTCTCCACAGAAGAAGGACATCGAAATATGCCTGGCATAATGAACTTTCAGTGAGGCTGGTGAAATCAAATCCCATCCCAGCCTTTGATGAATGTACTTTGCTATTGAATTACCTTCACAAAAGCACAGTGTCCAAAATGGAAAAAATGCCTTATGGAATATGAAACAAAAGATCAGAATACAAAGGACACTGTGCTATGCTAGTTTAGGGACGCTCCTCATCTCCTAAATTGTTCCCAGACCTTGTTAGGTCATCCTCAGTGTGGGGGGGTTGAGTTGCTCCATGGCAGAGGAGAGTAAGAGGGGGGGGGGGGGGGGGGGGGGGGGGGGGGGGGGGGGGGCTAGTGAGACGTCTGGACAGATCCCTCCATCAGCACGTCTGTTCGGAGACGCAACGGATGTCCTCAGACTCGCATTCATGCTTCCTGCTCTGCTCGCATCTCCCGCACCCCCCCCCCCTCTCATCTCTCAGATACGGTCTCCTGTAACCATACGCCACCTGTATAATAGAGGTCACCCTCCTTTCAGATTACACTCTGTACAGTGAATTATTGGCGGTGGCAAGGATCAGCTAAATCCATTATAGACAAATGTATTGTACATGCTTGAAAATATATCCAGTAGTAATGTTATGCATTTGAAATTAAGGTTTGAGTCTAAATGTGCAAAAAAAGTCTATAGGCCCTGTCATGATTGGGCACAAAGGAGGAACAATGTTATCTGATGCATGTACAATGACATTCAGTCTTAAGCAAAGGTATTAAATGGCACATTAGGGCTAAAGAAGAAGCCACAGAGCTTTCCTTGTGGGTTTAATCTCTTCTTCTCTCCCCTTAGCTTTTTCCCAAGTTGGACTTTGGGCTCAAGGCGAGGAGCGACTTCTCCATGATTTGTTTGCAAGTTACAATAAGCTGTCCCGGCCTGTGAAAAACACAACTGACGCAGTGCTCGTCCACTTTGGACTGTCCATCGCCCAGCTTATCGATGTGGTGAGTAAAACCACACGGCATTGCTAAGTGCTACCAATAGTGAAACACCGGATACCAGTTTTAAGGTCCAACTGATATTAAAAAAAGTGTCCTTCTTTTACTTATTAGCATTCATATCTGCTCTGTTTAAATATTGTCTTGTGGTCTTCTCTGAGGAAAAAATCAGGAACAAACATTTAGAAAATTAAATGTTAATGCTGAAACAGCCATGGCCGGAGGCATTATGTTTTTGGGTTGTATGTCCATCTGTCTGACCCATTCTTGTGAAGGCCTTGAGGAAATGTCTTTATATTTGGCACGAACGTCCAGTTGGACTCAAGGATGAACTGATTTGAATGATCCGTCCTGAATTTGGCGGTCAAATGTCAAGATTCATTTGGCAGCACACTTTTTTTGCCACAACTTATTAATTGAATTGCTGATTATGAAAATGACATACAAATACCTTATGATTACAATTTGGACATGGATGTTAAGTGCAACTTGGCTGATTGGTTTTGCATTGGTTCCTTTTTCATTTCTTTAGAAAGCAGCTTCACAGTTCTATCATAGGCACCACTACAACATCCAGACAGAAGGCTGTCACACAAAACCAGAGCCAAAGACCTCTGATATTAGCTTTCCTGCTAAAGTCTCCTTATAATCCAACTCACAAACGTAAACACACATCTTGTCTCGCACCTCAGCTTGTGGAACGAGCCACCAAACATGCGTACAAAAAGGTGCACTGTTAATGCCAGTTTGCAAGGTGAATAGCTAATAAACTGATCAAATGCAGCATATATAAAACATATAAATGTACCTGCAAATATCACTTCAGAAGCTGTGTGGCCTTATAACATTGGATTTAGTGTTATGAATGTCATGATGTCGGTGCATTGCAGCTGAGCAAACGATACATTTCAATTGTACTCTATCCGTCTCATGTTTTATATTCATTATGATTCATAATGGCAACCAGCTCAAAGCTAAGAGAGATAAATCTAAATACAGATCGCTTATCAGCGGATATGAAAACCACAACAGAAGAGATTGAATTATTTTCCCAAATTAAATTCAGTTGTCAAGTATGCTAACACTGGCAGTAAATATTCAAATCCAGCCACCGTTGGGCTAAACAAAAAAACATTTTCATTCATTCTTGTCTTATCGCTGCATTACAGACATTATTATGGTAAAGGGTTTCTGTTGACTTAGGTAAAAACAGTTTTAAACACTTTAAACTGCCGTGAGCCATGCAAAATTCAAGATTTAATATGTGCAGCCTGCAGGCTTTGGCAATGATTCTATACGTTTTGACACACGATTAGTTGATAGAACATAATCCACATGCCTGACAGAGTCAGCTCTTGGTGAAGGTGTCTTCTCCAACAGTGGGTTCACACTGACTGCTGTGTGTTAGATGTTGCTGGGAAAAAGCTGGAGATGCCAGAGGTTGTAGCAAAGCAACAGACACAGTTCAGTGAGGGCGTTTGTGCACAAAGGGCTGCAGAATGTGTTTTTTCCCAGTGCATTACACAACTCAATAATAATGATATCTTTATAAAAAGAAGGCCGTGTTGCTGATTTGTGCTATAGAAAGATGAATATGTTCAAAGACCTATGCGATGATGAAGTCCAGACATACAATTCCAATTTTAAAGAAGATGAATGCCAAAATAATGTTCTCTTCCTTTTTAGGATGAGAAGAACCAGATGATGACCACAAATGTCTGGGTCAAGCAAGTATGTCATATTGAAAGATAAAACGCATGCTAAAGATATATTCAAATATAAAACTACAGTCAATTATAAGAATATTTTCGAACAGGAATGGGATGATTACAAACTCCGCTGGAACCCGGAGGAATACGAAAACGTCACCTCCATCCGGATTCCCTCAGAAATCATCTGGAGGCCAGACATTGTCCTCTACAACAAGTAAGGACGTGTCAATAGCTCGTTTTTATGTAAAGAGGATTCTGCTATCTATTACCGGTAATATATAGCAACAAATGTTTGCATTTTGATGATTTAGTTCCAACAGATGGAAGACGTGAAGATTTTGTTGTGGTGCCAAACTGTCCATTGCCAATGTTGTTAAGCAATTTAGCCAGAATAAATGTGGACAAGGTCAGCCTTAATGGATGTGGTTACAAACTACGCTCGAAACATCACACAAAGCATTACATTAGGCTAAGAATTAGACGATGAAATTTGATTTGGATGGTTTTCAAAGGGCCTCAGATTAAAAGCATCCGTGTTCGTGCCTCAGGTAGACCTGTATTTATTTCACTCCACAGATCAACGGATATGAAAAACTGTATCATTATATTCACATCGTTTTACAAATATGATCCAAGGCTCAGTTAGGGCATTGCAACATCATTGTAAGCACATTTCATATATCATATTTGTAAATTCTTCATATAAGAGGATCACTAACAAAATTAGAGGAAATATTATGCTGATTTTGAGGTTAATATTTGTATTTTGTGCCTTTTCTGTGACATGTTTAGATGCTTTAATGTTCACAAAGCTCTTTATTGGTCTGCAACACCTCTTTGCACCCTCATTCAGAAACCAGAGCCCAGTCTGCTCTGATTGGTTAGCTGGACGGCTCTATTGTCATTGGTGAACCACTTAGGCTAAGGGTTGGGACATCTCTATCACGTATAATATGTTGGAGCACTAGCCTATACAATCGCAAATGTTGCATAGTGATGTCACTATGTTACGAAAGTAAACAAAGGATTCCAATGGAGGCGTTTCAGGCAGGGGGGGGGGGAGTGTGTGGGAGATGAACTCCCTCTGGAGAGAACTTTGGGATGTTAGCCTTTGCAGACCATTTACATGCACACAAACTTATATGACACACTACAGGAAAGGAAAACCCCAAAAAGCATAATAGGGCCTCTTTAACAAACACATTTTCTTTAACCTTTTGCAATTTACGAATTGTTCAGCTTTCTCAGACATGAGAAACTACATGTTCAGAAGGAGTTATAGATGTCTGATTTCAAATCCTACTGAAGATATAGACTAAAGATTGACAAAGTCAACTATTTTCTTATATCTGATATATTGTTTTGTTGGTAAAATGCTGATGTTGGTGTAGTCCTGAATTTAGGCCTTGAAACTATAAATACAGCAATATAACTGAATACACTTTATTGCATTACTTTGTGAGACTACATTGACCCTTAAGTGGTCGTTTTCTACGTCAAAACACAATTTTACATTTGGCGAAAAGAAAGAACCCAGGAGGCTGGGCAGGCATATGTCTAAAACACATACAGGCCGAACTAATCTCGATGTGCTGAAGATATTGGCAACAATGTGGACAGATGACTAGGTTAGAAGATGAGCTGAGCGAGAAGTAATGGGTGAGCCTCAGGTGTGTAATGAGAGGGTTCTAACAAAGATGGATCAGACTACAGAGGCGGGAGAGCAGAGAGCAGGATGGGGCAGCTGTCCCCATGACCGTCTTCAGAGATTACATCCCCTGCTTCCAGTATTTTATCTTTGGCACCAAAAACAATTTATTGCGCCAAATTTCTTTTTTTCCTTGCACAGCACTAGTACTTAGTCTCCTTTTATGTTCTGCCATCATTTTCTTAAACATCAGGTCTATAAAACGTAGCTATTTATATGCTTTGCAAAGAAGGTTTCATTATTTCTTATGTTAATTATTCAAATAAAAAAAAACATTTAGCTTGTAGTTACTTAAAGTCAAGCTCGAATTAAGTATTTACGGAATTTTTCTTTAGGACTAAAAAAGTGCTATAATTGTTCTAAGTTGTGTGTTCACCATCTACTTAAAACAAGCTTTACATGTGTTTGCAAACAAGAACATTTTAATGTAAGATTCACGGTCCACTTGAGTTAAGATTTAAGTCCTCTGAAATGTATAGCTTGAAGAACTTGGCCAGGAATAACATTTTAATAAAAGCAACTCTTAATAAAGATTTATTTTAAAAGATTTTCCACTTTCCTCCCCTCTTATGTGCAGCGCTGATGGCGACTTTGCGGTAACTCACCTCACGAAGGCCCACCTGTTCCATGACGGTCGGATAAAGTGGATGCCACCGGCCATTTACAAGTCTTCGTGCAGCATAGACGTCACATTTTTCCCATTTGACCAGCAAAGCTGCAAGATGAAGTTTGGGTCGTGGACCTACGACCGCTCCAAGATCGATCTGATCAGCATGGCCAGCGATGTGGATCAGATGGACTACTGGGAAAGCGGGGAGTGGGTCATTATCAACGCAGTGGGCAAGTACAACACCAAAAAGTACGAGTGCTGCATGGAGATCTACGCGGACATCACTTACTACTTCATCATCCGGAGGCTTCCGTTGTTCTACACCATTAACCTCATCATCCCCTGTCTTCTTATCTCCTGTTTGACTGTGCTGGTGTTTTATTTGCCATCGCAATGCGGAGAGAAGATCACCTTGTGTATCTCCGTCTTACTGTCCCTAACTGTATTCCTCCTGCTGATCACAGAGATTATACCGTCCACATCGCTGGTGATTCCATTAATTGGGGAATACCTTCTGTTCACCATGGTCTTTGTCACGCTTTCCATCGTAATTACTGTCTTTGTGTTAAACGTTCATCACCGGTCCCCACAAACCCACGGCATGCCTCATTGGGTGCGGAGAGTATTCTTGGACATGGTGCCTCGAGTGCTCTTCATGAAGCGTCCGCCTGGCACCGCCAAGCAGAACTGCAAGAAGCTCATCGAGATGATGCACCGTCCGACCACCATATCTGCGACGGGCAACTCTCTGGCCTATTGGACAGGGTTAGAGACGGGATTCAGACAGATGAGCCAGGTAAACGATACCCTTCCAAAGACTCCATCCGACAGTCCAAGCATCCATGTGTGCTCACCCTCCCCACCCTCTTCCCCTCTTGAGAACCACAACGGGAATGATCACCCAATGAAGGCCAACCTTTTCTCCTGCCCTGGATCTGGACAGTATTCGGTTCTCTCTGAGAAACAACCCCTACGGGTTCTCAACTCTGCCGCCTTGTCTTCTTCCCATATGTCCTTACCCCTTACTTTACCAATGTGCCCACTCCGCAGCCTATCCAGGGAAGAAATACACACAATGGCCCCAAATGGTCGTTCCCACAGCGCAGAGCAGATGTCTGACCAACAGAAGGAGCTTCCTCAGAAAGCCGGCCATCGATGTCGCTCCAGCAGCTTCCAGTACTGCTGTTTGCACGATGAAGGGCCAGGAATCATGGGAATCGCAGGCTGGGTGAACAAACAGCCTGCCACAGATCAACCAACAGAACCCCTCAGAGTGGAGCCCATTAAAGATGTGTGTACCCAACAGACCCTGGGTCTGATCATTTCCCCAGCCATGCAGCGGGCCATAGAGGGAGTTCAGTACGTCGCTGATCATCTCAGGGCAGAGGATGAAGATTTTTCAGTGAGTTGAAATCCTCTTCATTTAAGTAATCATGTAAAATGTGCTTATATTTCAAAAAAATATACACACTATTTGTAGCTATTTATAGAAAGTGCAATCTCCTGAGCACATGCATTAGGGCTGTCACCAGAGATTTGGTGGGGAAAAAAGAGGATATTATTATTTATATTATATCCGCAATCGTATAGAAATTAAATACGAGCACAATCTTCAAGTTTGCAAATTGTTACAAAACTAACTTGCATAACATAATTGAGTTTCCCTGAGCCAGTGTTCATCAGAAAATTAAGAGCTGGTTGTTAATACTGTAGTTCTCTGGTGATGACAATGTAAATAGTTACACTACTCATCTTTATTTATTTTAAATGCTTATCAGTTCAAATAGATTTTGATAAGGAAGCAGCAAAAGGCTTTTGTCCATACAGTTCTGATTCAGTGTTCATTGTTGAGTCTCTTGAGAAGATTGGAGGTTGGAGTCATACCAATCATACCAAACTTTAAATAAAAAATGTATTGTATTCAGTGACACCAGCCATTGTTAGCACTACAATGCACTGTCTTTATCTAGCCAGAAAACCCCCATCTTTGGGACAAAGGGACCACTTTAATTTGACCTTGAATTTTTCATCAGGAGGCGAGCCAAAATTGACTGACATTTAGGCGATAGGTGCCTCATAATGAAAAAATCAGCCATTCGAGAGAAATCAATCAAGGGTGAAAACTGACATCTGGAAGAAGAAAAGAAATAGAGAGATTGTGTGGTGTGGAAATTGAAATGTCCCCTCTCTGCTGTGTCTCTTTCCTCTGCTAGGTGAAAGAGGACTGGAAGTATGTGGCCATGGTCATTGACAGGATATTCCTCTGGATGTTTGTCCTGGTGTGTATACTGGGATCTGTTGGACTCTTCCTTCCTCCTTGGCTGGCTGGAATGATCTAGAAGCTCACCATTGAAGGAAAGAGAGGCAACAAACACTGACTGTCTCGTATAAAAAAAGCATGGTTTATCATTAACCTTTTCATTTTTTCAGAAGAACTACTAGCCCTACTTCTCGGTCTTGCCCGGGTTATCAAAAGGTTACTCTCGGAGAACCGAGTTGAAATAAATTCCATTGATTCCAGCGGGGCATATCAATTCTTTATGAGGGCAAAAGGCCAACAGTGAAACATATCCTTTCACACCACTCCATTTTGACATTGAGCAGTATAGCTCATGCTGTCACCATAAAGAAAAAAAAAGAGAAAAGAATAGAGATTGAACCATTTACAACTGCAGAAAAATCAAAGACTCAGGAAAAATATTGTATTTTCTGAGAACGTAAGATGTTTATAAAACTGTATAAGGTTTGGTTTGAATCTACAATAACATTCCTACTTTCAATGATATAGTACCCTGACAATATTCATCAAATATATACGTTTTTAAGAGCTGCCTGATTTGGCAGCATTTGGTGAATAATCTCTGAAGAATTTGTGTGTGTTCAGGTGTGACGCTTTTTTTGCAGTGGTCACAGTTTAGCTAAGCCCACATGAAGCTCTCTGATTTTCTAATTCCAGCAGTTACATTAAACACATCTATTCAATATTCCTTTTGTCACCACTTTTAAAACTTTGGTGTTAACAGCAAGGGAATTAAAGTCACTCTCTCCAGTCATGCAAATGAATTGTCCTCGCCTCAACCCCGGCCACCTATTTCCTACTTCTATTGCTTGATAAATGAGTAAAGCAGGAGTGGTGAATATCAATACATAACTGCCACATTATTTTGGGAGATATTTGTATTTATTATCTTGATTAAAGATAACCAGCCCCTACACTGTATTTTATACCTTGTACAATGGAATCAGATCTGACAGGAAATCAAATGGCTTTAAAAGTGCTGAACATGAAGAAGCAGTCATTGAAGCGCCAATGAGTTGGAGGTTTCAGACGGTGGCAAGAGTACAAAGGCTGATGAAGACACTATTGAATATTTAGAACAAAAGAGAAACCTTTCTGAAGCGATGCCAGGGGGCAAATCGCAAATGTTATTTATCACCAATTTATTACATATTCCAATGTAAAAAATGTGGCATACACATTAGCATACAGAAAAAAGTATGCTATTATTATACATGAGGCTGATTTTTAAGAGATTTCATAATTGAATAGGTCCGGATTTTCACATTGTGTTAACTTAGATAGTGCCTGACTTATGCTGCTTTGCTTAATTAACCTTTTCAATATCTGCAAACTTATGATAAGACCATTGATTCTGAAAACGGTTACAACTATGAAGCAAAGATGAATTCTACTGCAAGAAAACAACTTGGCAGAGAATAATGCGCTGCATATAGTGGGGAGAAAAACAGGTACAGGGGTGCAAGAAACGAAACGCATTTACTTCAGGTACTTGAACAAAGTCCAGATAGGTGTGATTTTGCAGGAGGTAGCAGTGCACACTGGCCGTTTTCTGTGTGCACGTTCATGCGTTTTCAACAAGCTAGCTGAATAATGCATGCATATAATATGGGATCAGTTTATTTGATCTCAAGGATGAAGACAACAATATATTATTCATGTTTTCCAATCATTTGTATATTTGGTCAACCACCGATTTATAGTCTGCCTCTATTGATGCAATATACTAGATTTCTATCAGAATACTGAGTACATTTTAGTTTTTCAACGTTATTTAGTCCATCTTACTGTCAAAATAGGTTAGCTACATATTTATTTACGGTTTCCCAGTGTAACGCTATGATGGTCAATTTAAGAATGTATCAGCAGTCAGGTAAAGATACTTTCGTATTCTGCTTCAGTTTCAGTCATGCAAGTGTTAGGAGTAAATACCTCTTGTAGATTATTCTTTGGGTAAAGGCCAAGTTGAGCTTGATAAACTGCTTTCAAGATTACGGTGTGGTTAGCTCATTCCAAAAGTGACAAATTAACTAAATTCAAGTTGACAAAAACGCACATCAGGCACACACTTCGAGACCTTGCAACGTAAAGCTTTTTTTTCAAATCACGTCAAGTCATGGATTGCAAAAAAAAATGACTTCACAACTGTTAGTGATATAGTTATTAGCATAGCATTATTGTATGTCTGCATGGTTAAAAAAACGAATGCACAACCCAACAGCCACACTAAAGTGCTAATAGTGGATCCTCCAACAGTGACACCATGGGGAACTTTTTCCTTCAGTAAGGTGCTGTTCTTGGAAATAATCCCCACCGTCCTGACTGCAAATCCTTATTTTATTTTAGGTGCGCATTGAAGCAGTACTGAGACTGGGAGTGGCCATAGAGAGAAAAACAGATATGAATACTGAACAAATGATTGACTAACTGTGGTCACAAGATATACACTCATTCGTTACCTACATTTAATTAAAGTGTTCCCGTGTTTTGATTCCATCCACCACTTGCTTAAGACACATGTCTTTAGTTTTAGTTGGCTATAAATAGAAGCTTTTTAATCAAGCTTTACATTAGCCGTGGACGAGTTAACGAGACATGTTGACAACATTAGCTCTGCAATGGATTATTGTTGATAAAAGGCAATTAGCGAAGACATTGAGAGCTTGAGGATTAATTCGTTATGTAGATGATGATGAAGTATTTCCACAACTGGTTATCTCTTTCCAGGATAATTTACATCTTCATGAGCTAGCAACCTGTGTAACCCTTGCATCATAATAATACCAATACTTAAGCAGGTGCACTGTACTTCATTTGGGGAAAAAGGCTGGTCTGGTATAGTAGCGCTTTGTACACATTTGGTGTGCACAATTGACCGAAACATTGGTATGAAGTACTTACATTTAGGTCATACCATACATTTTGTTTGCAAAATTAATATTTGTTATCCCTCTGGAAACTCCTGGGCTTCGTAAAACAGAGAGTGTTAGTAGACCATAAACAGTTGACGGTTATATTATCCTTCGATAATGAACCAGCAGGGAAGTCGAGCAGACTCGGGAGGACTTTTTGGTGCTCAAGTTTCTCAAAATGACATTCAGACAGGTGAGTAAATCAAACTCACTGAACCTTCTCGACAGATGAGACTGCCAACAATCACTGAGTTGACTTGGCAACGGGGTGTGTATGACTGTACAGTCTCTCATTGCTTTCATATAGGCCTATGTTTTCACACTGGAGTTTATTTCATAATTACTACACAGCTTTGTTGAATACTCAATTCTGATTGGTCAATTTGGACATTCTGCAATCTGTTATTTCTCTATAGCAGACATTTAATGGCTTTCAAAAATAAAAGTTTTCTGTCTATTTTAATATTATTTGGGAAGAGCATTTAACTTGACATATTGTTCAAACATTTCTGTGATGCTAAAATGAATCTACTCTGTGGTGTGATGTAGATGTTTCCCTTTAAAAGTACATTTCAAATGACTTGGTTTTTACTTTTAGTTTGGTCAATTTAAATGTATTTGAATTCCTCAATTGACTTAAACAAATAGATTTTATAAATTATGCTTAGGTGTTTTTAAGTATGTGCATGTATTTCTTTAAAAAACAAGCATCCAATCACATGTAGCTTTTCTGAATTGTTATTGTATCCACCAAACACAAATTGTTATCATTTTATTATTAAACTACGGTTATCAGCAAGTTATCAACTCCTCTCCACTTTAATTATGTTCCCAGATATCTGCCTTCTGCTGCTCCGCCTCTGCGAAACCTCCAATTAGATTTAAAAGCATAACGTTACACCTGAATGCCCGTAGTGATGACCTGAAAGTTGACCTCAGCCAACAAACGATTGTATTTCCACTGACTCAGCAGAGAACCACCCATTGATCATTAATGTAAAACACAGACAGGAGAAAATTGCAATTAAGCACAATATGGAAAGACAGCACTTTAAACAAGGTGAAATGGAGGCAGTGCTGTGTATTTATTCATTGATTCCAGCAGTGATCGAGAAAGGCTGGATGAAAGTCTGAAATACAAATTAGCATTTTCCTGCAACTCCAAATGAAGAAAAAGCTCAGCTTCATAAAAACGACAAGTTAACTTAGTGTTTGTGTGCATTCATATATGAACGGATATTCATTTCCATTTGTCCTTCGAGTTTCCTATGGAAGCACAATACCGCTGTATATTGAATCCTACGATGAAATGAGGATGGTCTTCATGAAACGACGAGCTAATTTAAATCATAAGGCGTGCCTTTTCAGCAGGGATTTAATATCCACCATTTCAGTATTAAATACTTGTGCAAAGGCAAATTACAAATGTGTACGTCAGAGGGCAGGGCTCCATTAAGGTACACAATGTTATTCATTACAACTAAATGTCATCTTATTACATTTACCTTGATGACAAATTGACCTTCAATGCAAATTTCAATTAAGTGATTGGCTTGCAGATACATATGCCAGGGCTTTGATAATTCATTTAGACAAGGAGACAAATTAATAAACCTTGGCACATGAACCCAATGGTAATGCTGCTGGTGGCTTCCTGATAAACTGTTAGGAGATACCCGCCTGTATGTATACTGTAGATAGGCCTACTGTATGTGCAATTGTATTTATTTTAGGTATGAATGTGTTCACTATTAGAATACAAGCCCTGTAAAAGGGTCCTGAGAGTACACATCATGATGGCTAGATGATAAAAATGCTGATGCTAAAGCTCATTTAAAAAACTTCCTGAAACCATTGCTAGCATACATGTTGTGGTGGTTGTGTAAGATACAAAACAATGAATACTACAACAACTTGTTTTAGTATTTCGAAAATGGGATCCATGTCAAACTGCAAAACTCTGCCTCACAGAGCCTGGTAAAAAAACACTAAAAAGATCATTGTACTCAATGCATTCATAGGTGGTCCTCTGTAGCCTAGCAGCCCTCAGATGGACAGCTTAACGTGAATTCCTATGTAAAACATCTGTCAAGGTGGCCTTCCAATCAATTTCCCCATCACATCTCCTTAATCGCGTAATTCAGGCTGTGATATGTGCCGATTAGCAGCGAAAACTCCCCTAATAGGCCAGTCTGAATCCATACACAAGACAGACGTCTGCAGGAGTGTGCAGAGCATACAGATGGCCAAGACACCCAGACACACATCACACACAGTGAATCTGCTGCTGGCTGTGCAGCGGATTCCCTCAAGGACCCGGGGCTCATAAATGTGGTAAAGTGTGAAGCACAGACCCTCACGGGATCCCATTAAATCAACTCACACACTGTATTTTACAATTTCCCCCCAACGATCAGCAATTTTCATATGATCCCTCCAGTCACTAGCAATCTAAAAGTGCTGCCACTCAACGGATCAGAGTGTGTGCAGGGTTTCCCCAAGGGGGCCGAGTGTGCGGCTGCCCTCTGCCCCGCAAGAGTCCATCCAGAGACTTTAGGGAGGGCTTACAAAGGGCATTGTACATCCCTGCTTATCACTTTACCATGAGATATTTACTGTTTATTTCCCCTTAGGGACAACACTCCCGCTGTGACTTGCTGATGGTCACCGGTTTTATAGCTGTCTTTCATTGACTACTTCAGCATATTTATTTATAGAAGACATATTATGCTGATCATCAAGTTTATAGTTTGGTTTCTTGCATTCAGCGTTTTGCACTGTCATTGCATTGGGGGACTGTAACCACAGGTTAAAGTGGGCTGCAACCATCTGGAACTGCTTTCTGGCAACTTAATTTAACAAGTTAATACATCTGAGTGGCAGTTTCATCATAATAATGTCAAGGGAGTTCATTTTTCATGTGCTACAGCCAGGCGTTCCTTCCAGCTGATGCCATCGACATCAAGATACTCAACTCATCAGAAAAGTAATGTCACCCCCTAGTCATGTTTCCTTGCTGTCAAACTACACCGTCCCCATTGGAAGCAAGATGTGAGCAGTGCCCGCCGTAGCAAGTGAGTGAAATCTGCCTGTAGTGAAATAGACAAGCTCATTGACAGACTGGGATCCTTGATCAATCAATGTACAGTAGGCCTACATGTGGCTATAAAGTTCAAACACATACAGCAGGATGTTTAAACCTCTGTCTATCAGGGCTGCCAACATTTGAGTTCAGCTTGGAGTGAGATTTTTTTTGGTGAACCGAAAAAAGAAACGTTCATGTGTACAGTGTTACAAATGTATTGAACATGTACAAACTAGGGTTTCCCATACCGGGCGCTATGGAACAGGCACATACAGTGTACCCGCGACTCTTGCAATGAAGGCTCGATAATCAGCTCACGGCCATCACGGCATAGGCTATAGGTGTACAATAAGCAGAGGTAAAGTGCTATTTTATAAGTGATTTTTATATTTTATTTTTTTTAAATATTGAAGTTAAATGCATCAACCTGGTGCATTTTGAGAGCAAAATGAATGTATGGATACATCTCTCAACACCCATATGAAACGGAACTGTAAACAGATTTTCTTTTTCTTTATGGATATTTTACAAATCACTCACCTTTTAAACTCTATTCTTGTTTTACTGTCATATAGTATTTCATAACTGTTTTTCATTCATTCTCATAAATGGTGACCAAACCGTTTGAGACCCACTGAGATAACTCGACTAAAGTTAACTATCTAAGAGTCCCTTACCTCACTGAGCTGTAGTTATCTCTCTCAGTCTGACAGGACAGAGCTCTCTCTCTCCTTGTTTTAGAAACAGCTTTTAATATCCGTTAGCGCAGCTAGCTGACCAGATGCTAACAACAACAATGTAAATAGTGAGTTTGGTAGAAATATAGGGGAGACCAGGGACAGTTGTAACACGGGTTGGTTGTAACACCTTCAATATCTCCAATCACAAACAAGCTAGAGTGATGAAACTCACTCTGCACATGCGCAGTTAGATGGTAAGATCGCTGAGAAAAAAAGGAGCCACGTTTGAATTTCTCGCGTAAAATATCAGTAAAAGTGTGTTTCAGAGGTAAAATATTAACAAAAATTATATGATGTATTTGTTGGATACTGTCTTGAGTTCAAATGTCTAAGAATCCAAACTAGTATTATTGGAATCACTGTTTTGTAAGCTACAAATATAACTAGCTAAATATGGGTCAAGCTAGCAACTAGGCAGGTTCTTAGGGGGTGGAAGCAAGACTGGTGGTCCTGGGACGGTTGTAACGGGATGGTTGTAACATGGCACATTTACAATGATGGCTCATTTACTTGAATGATCAATTGTTCATTCAAGCATACAGTTGTATTGTTGATTGGTGTGCATTGTCCCTGTAAAAATAAACAGAATATAATACTGTACAGTAGGCCTAAAGTGTGTGCGTGTGTTTACAGTATGCCAAATGTCAGAAAGAGGAAGACAGACAGGGGAGTGCCACTTGCTCTGCTGCAGAGGGCCTCAAATGAAGTTGAGAAGGGCAAATCATTCAGGGAAGTGGCAAAGTCCATGGATATATGCCATGTCACCCTGTATCGGTTCCATAAAAAGAGGCTGAGGTTGGAGAGTCAGGGATCACAAACACCCCCAAGAGTATAGGCTACTGGACACCAACGAAGGTGTTCTCAACAGAGCAGGAGATGCTTTTGAGAGACTACCTGATGGAGGTAGCTGATTTATATTATGGTCTCAGCTCAAAGGAGGTAGGTCTACATAATTAAGGTAGAGAACAGAGAACTGTTCTCTCAGAGAACAGTTTAATCCTTCACAGAGGATGATGCTGTGTGTGTTATCTGTTATCCTGTTCATTGTTCATTGTTGGAGGATGTGTGAAACCCCATTCAAATCTTGTTGCCTTAGAATTTGACAGCTTTCCCTATTTGTTGTCATGTAGTGTGAAAAAGGTAACCGTTATTAACATGTTACAACCGTGCCTGGCATGTGTTACAACTGTCCCTGTACACAAGGACAGTTGTAACAGTTGAGTTTTTAAAAAAATACATTTTCCAACCTGTACTTATTTCATAAAAACATCTTAAATACATTGTTTCAGTAGCTGACATATTGATAATGTATAATATAACAAAATGGCTATCCTATTGTAAATGTTTTTTTACTTATTGGGGGAAAACCCCAAAAGTGTTGCAACTGTCCCTGGTCTCCCTACTGTATAATAGTAAAGTTATTTAAGATGATTTTACATTATAAATATTCCCCAAAATTATTCAAAAGCATATTCTTCCAAACTCCTTGCTGTAGTATGACCACCAGGAGACTATTGATGTGTGTAGTGAGTTTGGTAGTAATATACTGTAATAGTGATTGAATATTATTGTATTCTCTTTTTTCAGAGTTGCACTTTGCAGACGGTCCCGGAGGACGGCACGTTACGGCGTATTGGCTTTTTTTTATCAAAATGTGATTGTAGTTCGTTGTCAACCTTACCACGGTACTTAGGAGACGTCATTTGTGTCTGAATAACGTTTTGTTCATGAGTTATTGATCCGTGAAATCCGAAT